ACCCACACCCACACACCATACACCTATCTCTCTTCCCCCAAGCACCTCGCACAACACATAAGAAACAACTTAGGCATTGGGGGGTGTTGGTGAAGGTTGAATCAAGAAAACGACTCGATGAGGTAGTTTCCAGAATTTTCGACGAGCTTGACGGCTTCGAGCCGATTTCCCACCAACCTCAGCCACCACTTGTGAAACAAAAGGTAAAATCCTAATCTACACTCGTTAAGCTTCATTTTGGTAGGTAGATCGTATCATAGGGTTGTGTATCGGAGTTGAACGGAGCTTAGGAAGCTCCAGCTTCCTCCTTCACGAATTCGGCCAGAAAACCGGGTCAACCCGACCTAATAGCCCTGAACCCAGACCCATTGAACCCAGGCCTTCGGCCCAAAGAACCCAAGCCCAAACCCTAAGGAGCCTAGCTATTTTGCGTGAGCCCAAAACCCAAATGGAACCCCATCCTTTGGGCTATGGAACCAGGCCAGTTGTGAAGCCCAAGCCCATTGAACTAAACCCTAAAACCTATTAGGCCCAAGCTCAGGAACTAAGCCCAGACTCAGACCTGGATCTGTGTCACATCCCGGCCCGGGGCGGACCACTTCCCGAGCCCGCTCCACCACGGTAGCACGATATTGTCCGCTTTGGGCCCCGACCACGCCCTCACGGTTTTGTTTCTGGGAACTCACGAGCAACTTCCCAGTGGGTCACCCATCATGAGAGTGCTCTAGCCCCCTTCTCGCTTAACTTCGGAGTTCCAACGGAACCCGAAGCCAGTGAGCTCCCAAAATGCCTCGTGCTAGGTAGGGATGTGAATATATATTTAAGGATCGCTCCCCTAGGCGATGTGGGATGTTACAATTTGGCCCAACCCAGTCAGATCCTAGGATCTTAGGTCGCGCGTGGGTACCTGCCTTGGCCGGTGTGTGGAGCATATGAGCCTCTACCGGAGATATTGTGCCTGCGACTTTTCCGGCGAACTTTCTGGCGACCCATAATGGCGAGTAGTCCCTTGGGCCGCCACCCCATGGCGGCGCGTGGGGGTCCTCCCTTATGTTTTTCAACTTCCTGAATCTATTTATGACATATGTTTCCTGAAATTCAATTGTTTGAGTATAGTTTTATTAATTGGACCCTTTATGTGCTTAGGTGCATTTATTATGGCGTTTCCGTCTTCACTAGTTTGCATGGCTCTTCGACGGTGAAGTATTTGTGAGTGGACCCATTCCAAAATGCATAATTTTGCTATTAGAAATGCATACATGAACAACATGATTTAATGGTTACGTTTTATGAGTAAATTAGATTTTACTTCTTATGAGATATCATGCTTTACTGAGAATATTTTGGAATACCATGCTTTATCGATTTCATGTTCTTTATAGTATATATAATGGATGACTACATACTATGAAGATGTTTTGAGATATGATGTTTGCGCTACTAAGCTCCGTTGAGATATATGTACTTATGTTGGAAAGATTATATTAAATGTTTTTGTGCTTATCTAGTGGTCACTGTTCTGCCTACGGGCATATGTCTTGCCTTCAAGCGATTATGATACCACTATTTAGTACACTATATATGATATATGTTTTATGAAAGGTTTTATGGCATGCTAGGGTTTTCGGAAAACCTATTATATATTATACTATTGAGTTTTCATAAACTTTGGGGGTTAGTACATTGATGAATAACTGTTTCAATATTACTAATATATCAACTTGGTCCACTTATGTTTTGTTTGTGCCCCCTCAGGACATAGAATCGAGGCGTACAATCTCGGCGTCAAAGCACTCCACATCGGCATCTTCAATTCTTCTCGATGTAGGACCCATTCATTTGTTCATTCAATTTTATATTATTTCTTTTTAGTGTTCTAAATTAGTTGAATGCTTTGAACACGGTTCTCATTTGTATATTAATTATATTTAAATTTATAAGTCTTATTTATATTCATTGGTTCTCATGCATATTAGTATGGCTTCATCACCTTCGGATGTCGGTAAGCACGTGCCTACCCTGATGTTTGGCGGATATCAGGGTCGGACATGTCAGAATATCCAACACCAATATGCACTGTTATTTGTTAAGCACCCCCACCCACCTAGCTCTCTCTTGCATATTTTCATTTGGTAAGTGATTTTCACACTTACGTTTACTCCTTTTGCACTTTTGCTCTTGTTTCTATCCCTTGATACTCTTTCGGTTCATTCAATTCAAAGGTTAAAAAAAAAAAAAAAAAAAAAAAAGAGATGTGCATAATAAAAAAAAAGGTGTACGAAAATCATTTTCCCATTTTCATTTCTCAATTTACTGATACCCCACTAACTAGTCTACTGTTACTAACCATTTCTGCATCCTTAACCTTTTTCTTTCTAGAACCTGAAATTCATCAATCTAATCTCTCTTTTGGGGTTTATTGTCTCTCCAAAAGATGAGCAAAGTTGCATTGGAAAAAATGTTTGCACCAGTATGGCCAATCAATCATGCATAATATTATCCCTCACACAAGAACATCTATCATTGGAAGATATTTTTTAGTGTGCTGAAACATAGTTCGATACACCAAACGTTGATAATACAATTGTTCAAAGTTTTTTTTGTACAAATTTCTAATCAATTGTATTATGTCGACACAGTGAAGAACTTCTCCATCATTGAAACTTATAGAAACAAAATAAACCCTAAAATCAGCAAAATTTACCCCCCTAAAACCAAAATTCATGTAACCAGCACCAATCCCACATTCATAAAAAGGGTAAAAAAAATCAGATCTCCCATTAAAATCATGCTATTCATACATGATCTAGTATATAACATTTCAAAACATGGGTTCTCAAATATACAATCACACCCAAAACCCCCCCATCACAATCCAACATCACCAGATTTGAATGAAAGCACTTCTAGTTCCATTTATCTCCCAACTAGGGTTCCACATCCTGTAATTATATCGAATTCTGATGTCAATTACCTCTTGCACATCCCGTGATGACCTCGCACCCTCTGTTGTACGGATTGGCCGCCACAGCGTGACAGTTGTAGTAGGAAGCCCCTGGTGTTCCACAGGGAACCGAGTCCCTCTTGAGAGTCCCGTAGCTTATGTACTTCTTCTGCATTGCCAGAATCCTCCTGCTGCTCTCTGACTCCATCTCCGGCTCTGTCAAACACTCCCCAAGGTTCTCGCTGCAGCCACTTCTTCCCGCCATGGCAGCCTCGATTCCGCTCCCTTTGAGTGAAACCCCATTGCAGATTGGGAAGTGGGTGTGGATTACAAGGAGGGATACGTAGAAAATTATAGTGGGTTTGGGCATTTTTTCCTTCTTTTTGTTTTTTTGTTTTGTGGGTTCTTTGTTTTTGTGGATGGTCGTTGGACTGTGGAAGGAAAGGAAAGGAAAGCAAAGCAAAGTGAGATTCAAGTGGTTGGAGGGTTCATTAAATGGGCTATGAGACATGATCATGGTTTTAGCATAGACATGTCATGTGGGACGAAGGAATTAATGGCGATTCAATATCTCGTGAACCCACTCTATTAATTTATTGGGTATTGCATTTAGATTCCGCACCGCACAATCTAAAACTGAAGTACAACGTGTATTAGATCAACAGAACGTTACTCAAAGATAGATGTGCCTAATGGATGTCGAACCATTGTCTTAGAACCAGAAGGATGGGACACCATTAACGTGCATCGGACAACACTCGAAAGTAGGCTTGCCACACCTAGTGGTCAATCCCATTCAATGGCGGCTAATCAATCATCTGCTCCTACTCATAAGTGTGGCAGACCTGTTAGTTCAAATGATTCACAACTGTGGAAAATGAAACCAATAGCACAAACTAGGAAACTAGTGTAGATCCGACTATCGCTTACTCAATCTAACTTCTAAATTATAAAAGCGCCCTTGAAAAGACAAATCCACATACTCCAATCTAACGTCAGCGCCATGAATTTGAGTTTGGACCCAAAATTGACATGGCTGGGGCCGTAACTGGTCAGCCTTGGCAAACTGAAAATGAGTAGAAGGGTTTTTTGGTTCGGAATTGGGTCTAGCCTTAACAATTAAAGATGTGTGGAAGATCGTCCAAAATCTTGCGATTATTTGTATGAAGAATAAATCAATTGTTACTTTTAAAAGAAAACTAATAAAAAGAGCTTGAAAACTTTGAGTTTTAAGACAAAATAAAGAGTAAAGTGAATAGTACCAGGTTTGACTTTTTAATGTGAAAATGTGGTTTTTCGTTAAAATGAACAGTATTTAAAACTTCCTACCATTAATCCATTGTGAACACTTTTGACGGGCTCACCTGTTCATTTGAATAATTGAAATGTCTTCTGCATTAAAAGATGGAGTGTCGACAATGGCTATCAAACGACAAACTAAAAACGAAATGAGTATCAAACAGGCCTTATAATAACATTTTCTTTTTGTTATCGGAAAGACAATATTTCATTAAGACCGGCTAAACCGGATTAGAATCATGAAAACGAAGGTCTCCAATGTAACCAGAGGCTCCTCAAACCAAACCATATCAAGTAACAAGAAATCTGCATAACTATCATATTACCACGATTCGAAGCCGGCTAGTAATATAAATATAGTTGCTACAGTATTGTATTTTGACCATTTATGAAAACACACCAAACATTGAACCTAAATTGAGGAAAACTTGAGCAATGTGGGAAAAAAGGTACTCAATGAGCATACCCAAAAAAGCAGATTAGATTTCACACAATCTCAATACATCTCTACACATCAGGAAACCAAATTAAATCTAAAGAGCGGGCGATGACAGAATAAGGGGCCAAGCGCATGGTGTTTACAAGAATATAAACTAGTTGTCAGCATGACTGCTTGAACAATCGATGTATTCCGATTGTTGGAATGTAGAACAGAGACCTGTAAAATAAAAATGAAAACTATGATATAACTTATAGGCTAAAAGATCGGCTTTTAGCATATCCTATAAAAAATTGATTCGGTATGAACTAACAGATCATCACAAAACACCAAATTTCAGGTTGAGATCGATATTTTGTTTTTCTATGTGATCACTTAATGTGCACAAAAATTTAGCACGGGAAACGGATACATCAAGGATAGATACACAAACAGAATCTAATGTCAGACAAATTGTGAATTGCCCAACTATTTATCAGTTAGAAATCTATAACCATGCACTAAAAGTGTGTTGTTGCAGCATATGCATCAATACCACACTGCTAACACTGAGACAGCTTTATCAGAATACGCTAACATGACAATGAACAGTAGCCAGTGATGACTAAAAACTAATTGCATATTGGCATGAACTTATCCAACCAATAACAGGCAATGTCATGTCAAGTTTCAGATCTTATATAATGTGAATCTTACAAATCAAGGGAGACAGGAGAGAGCTTTGTCGTGAACCTGGATCAGTTCTTCACCACGACTGCAGTACTTAAAGAGTGAGTGTTTCCGCATCCTTGACAGTTCTGGACATTCCATGGCCGAACCTTCCATCATCTTGCTCATCATATGGATTTCCCCTATAATTAGAACTCGCTTCTTCATTCTCTGAACAGCCAGGTCTTTCAGTTAGGAACTGTTCCCAGAAAACATCGTTTACTCTAACAGAAACCAGTGCAGGTGCTTGATTGTTATGTGTGGCTTCTGGGAAGGAAGTTTTAGGTTTGTCATCATCAGCTAGATTTTTTTTTGTAAAGGCTCTTAAATCCGGTTCCTTGCCATTGTCATTTAGCTCTGATGCTGCAGATTTGTTGATATCCTGACCTACTTGGGGTACTGCAGCTGAATAGGGACTATTATTGACTTGCGACGGAGTAGATGCAAGAGTGAGATTTAACTGGCAGGATATATGACCATCACCTTCTTCATTAGAAGGCAAACCTGGCTGCAAGGAATGACGTATAGGGCTTCCAACAGTTGGTGCCTTCAGCAATAACAACGAATCCATTTTGAATGCAAAAGATGTTCCGGTATCTGAAAGTTCTAAGGTTTCAGGTGCAAATAAAAGCCCTTCTGTTCTCATCTGTGCACCTTTAAGTTCTTCAGATATTTTCCTAGTTGAACTACCCCCATCTTCATTGGAACTCTGCGTGCTAAGCGAAACCAAGTTCATGTCTGAAACAGCTGGTGATAATTCTAGTCTAAGTTTACTTGAGAAGTCTTGGTGGAAAACATTTCCAAACTCAGATCTGGAACTACTTTGGTTATCCACAAAACCATTCTCCACGACTGGTTGTAGGTTTTCAATGTCAGGCAATCGCCTTTTCTTATTATATGCTGAGAAATCCATAGATTCAATTTTTCTAGAGAGGTGTTCAATAAAATTAGGGTTGTGAACAGCCTCATCTAAGAATGTCAGCAAATTCTTCTGCCGTTGTTCCATACCACTCACCCGCTGTGCTAAGTTTTCCAACTGAAGCTTAGCTGCAGATTGCTGCTGTTTGAACGTTGAAATACTTGCCTCGAGTGTGTCCTTATCATGTGAAAGCTTCTCTATTTCGTCATCAAGAGCTGCTCTTTCTGGATCAACCATAGAACCTTGAGGATTGCTGTGGCTGTGAATGGGTTTTCTGCGGTGGATATTCTTAAGAAGATGCTTCTGATCTTGTATGAAGTCTTCATTAGCAAATTCCCATCTCTCAGGATCACTCTTTCGAAATCCCTGCGACAAATTCATGTCCAAAAATACTAAGTTAAATTATATCGACAGTCACTTCCGACAATATAAAAATGATGATTACCTGGAGATGATACATTAATTATTGTACAATGTATCTGAAAGAAGGTGAGTGCCAAAAATACTGAAATTCATGCATTCAAAAATACAACCAAGGAAGGACTTATGGTTTAATTATTGTACAATGTATCTGAAAGCCAGTTCACTACAGTCACTCCCTGTAACCTCTTGTTGCTTGAAAACCTCAATAGGCAGCCGAAGCAGATTTGGTATCTGTATCACTAAAAATGTGCTAAAGGTTTTATAGTCCGGATTGCAAAGCAATGTATTGTTCTAAAAGCGGAACAAAAGAAAGGAGAGAGGTGCCAAAGAATTTTGATAACAGTTTCATCGATCAAGAATATACATTGGGCTTTTTGGATGCGCTCCCACGTAATCGAAACTACAGACCTAAAGTATCCCTCTTTTTTTCTTAATTTTTGATGACGAACAAATGTACTGGAAGCAACAGAAAATACAAATTACATCCACAATCAACCACCATTTTCAAGTCTGCACATTTAGAGGAAAACATCATCTCCCTAAGATAGGAGGAACCGAAAAGCCCTGCAATGTCCTAAAACTGCTAATACTTCGAAGGCTTTTTAGTCAAAATGTTCCTGAGATTTTCATAACACATAACTTTGGTCCTTGAGATTTAAAATCAATAAAAGTACCCTGAGATTGTCCACCATCCATTATTTTGGTCCTTCCATTAAAAATCTCTGGTCCCTGAGTTTAATGGAAGGACCAAAATGATTGATGGTGGACAATGTCAGAGACCAAAGTTATGTGTTATGCAAAGCTCAGAGACCAAAATTATGTGTTATGCAAATCTCAAGGACCAAAGTTATGTGTTATTCACTCAACTTAATGGAGTTTTTTAACGGAACAACCAAAATAATGGTTGGTGGACAATCTCAGTAATCATTTCTATTGATTTTAAATCTCAAGGACCAAAGTTATGTGTTATGCAAATCTCAAGGACCATTTTCACTAAAAAGCCTACTTGAAAACAGGGAAGTGGAAACTAGCAACAATCCAAACAAAGAACAGACTAAATCTCCAATCACCCAACACAGAATTACCAAAACACGAAAATTCTCCGAGCACCTAAATCAAAATCTTAAGAGGCAGGAGCTTACGTATGTATTGAGCTGACGAATGAAGCTGGAGAAGTTGTTGTGCTTGAAATAGGTGGGGAGCAGAACCCGGGAGAACTCGGGCGGGTTCCAGACGACGAAGCTCTTCTTGTTCGAGCTCCACGACACGATCTCGTCCGTCGCGGAATCGTCCACCATGTTGTACGTCTTCAGCAGAAACGGCGCCGGGCCACCGCCTCCGCCGGCAGTCGAGCCTCCTTCCATGATGGAGAGTCGGGTCAGGGTTTGGGCGGACTCGATTGGAATCGGTTTTGGGATCCGATTGGAACGTTCGAGAGAAATGGAACAAATTTGACGACAGACGCGAGAGAGTGGAATCGGTTTTGGGATCCGATTGGAACGTTCGAGAGAAATGGAACAAATTTGACGACAGACGAGAGAGAGAGAGAGAGAGAGAGAGAGAGAGAGAGAGATAGAGAGAACGTTCGAGTCGAGACGCCGCCGGTTGGCAGAGTTGACTTGAGTGCATACGTGTACGGTTTTGGTATGTCTGTCGCCACGTCATCATTCAAATACAGAACAACACACCTTTTCTGATTGGTTATAAATAAAAATACGGTCAACTAGCGTGTAACTTTATTTTAATATAGGAAACATTTTTGCTCATCACTATTTAATGTGGTGTATACTCATCATTTTATTTATTACCGTTAGATGAGTTTGAATTTCGAGATTCGTGTAATGAATAAACACAAATATCAAAATTCAAACTCATCTAACGGTGATAAATAGAATGGTGAGCATACATCACATAAATGGTATTGGAGATGCGAATGACGAATGGTGAATATGTATATCTCTTTACACGGATGGGCCCAGGCCTGGTTGAGTTGGGCTATAGCCCAATCGATAATTCTAGCCAATAATTATAAAATAGACCCATCAGCCCAACCTAAATATTTAATTACGCATATACCATCCAGCCCAAACAAATTTATTAGTTCATCTCACGTGCGCGCTCTCTCTCTCTCTCAATAATTTTTTGTCATCCTCTTTTTTTTTCTTTTTTTCGTATTTTCTTTTGTCTTTTTCTCTGTATAATTCGAAATTGTGAATTTTGTGTTTTTCCACATTCAATTTTGAAATTTTTTTTTTTCATCCGTTCAGAAATATAAAAAAAACAAAAAAAAGAAAAAGATTTGTCTATTTGGTCCAAAAAAAGAGGAGAATGCGAATTTGCTTCAAAGAGTTTTCAAGTAACTGTTTTACATCTCTCTCTTAATAATTTTTTGTTAATTATACATTTATACTAGAGGGATGAAGGGAAAATGTAGTAGTAGAAGGCATGGGTGTTATATATATATATATATATATATATATATATATATATATATGACATGGGTGTTTTTATTTTAATTTTGTTTTTAATTAAATTAATTTTTTTAGTACAAGCGATTATTTGTTTATTTTATTAATTTATAACATAGATTTCCAATATACTATCAAATATAATTAATGCTCGATAAATATATAAGAGCTCGATTACTTAACAGTAATGTGAATGAAAAAAGAGTGAACGAGTTTAACTCATGACTTCCTCCGCTTTTACTTGCATGTAAGAAATTAAATCCGTAATGAGATGTCTTAAGTCCATGTTTACAACTCTGCTTCCAAAATTGGAAACATAACAAACTGAAGTATGTTTTAAGGTATTTATACACAAGTTTATGAAAGGGACTTCTTCCAATAAAAGGCTATGGCATCTAAAAGTGCCTTGAGATTTTAAAGTTTCTCGTCTAAACATAATGTATCTCTCTTTTTTTGTTGAGAAAATCAAATATTTTTTTACTCAATTGGATAATTCTAACTTGGAGTCTTTTTGGTCTTGTTTGGTATAGAAAATTGAACTGAAATAGTTAAAGCTCTAAGTTCAAGACATACTGAAGGTAGATGAGAATGATTTTTCATTTTGAGGGGATTTGACATGAAGGATACTTCTTTGTTTTGATTGTCTCATTTTGGGGAGGATTAGAATGATGGGAAACTTCTTCTTTCAATAATCCATTTCCTACCTTCAAGTGGGTCAAAATTTATTTTCATTCTTCAACATACCTGAAAAATTCTACATGATCTATTCCGATCCAATCCTCTACACCAAACATTCTTTTAAAAAAAGAAATCCCGCTAGACGAAAAGTTGTAATACTGCTAATAACCTACCATACCATATTTTACTGTACAATGTACAAAAATGAGTCAAATTAGGGCCAGAAAATAGATTGAAAGCAACATACAATCAGAGAAAAATGTTGAGAGGACTTATAGGGAGTTTAGGTGAGAATTAAGTTGGCACATCATTAATTAACATCGACTACAATACTGCTTGAACTACTGTGTGTTAGTTATGCCTTAATCAGGATTATAAAAAAAATTAAAAAAAAAAAAAAAAAAAAAAAAGGAATTTGGAATTAGGTTATAGTGTAAGTAACATAGGTTCGAAGCCATAAGGTTATAAACCAAACCCTCTTCCAACATATTCATCTTCTTCTTTGAGAGTTGAGTGAGTCAATAACCAGATATATTCAATCCTGGTGGGGAGATCAATGGCCAGAAAGTTATCCCAAGAAGTCTGGGTTGGCATACTAGTCACTTTTTATATTTTATGCATTTCTTTGTTTTGTTTAAGGTATTCAACTTCATTGGGAGCCAACAATGTGATCAATCTTTTGGTGAATAAACAAGTTCACCCGACTTGTACGATGAAGATCAATCACACCAACAGCGATTCATGCTTGAATCGTTACATTTACATCCATGACGGTCTTCCTGCAAGGTTCAACTATGACTTCCTCAACAATTGTGAGTCTCTTAGCCCAAGAGCTAGTAGTAGCAACAAACCGAGTATGTGTCCACAGCTTGTAAATTTGGGGCTTGGTCCGGATGTTAGCAAATCGGAAGGAGTTTTGTCCGACAAAAGTTGGTATCAAACAAATCCCCACTTGTTAGAAGTCATATTTCACAACAGGATGAAGAAGCACGAGTGTTTGACAAGCAACTCCAATCTTGCTTCAGCCATTTATGTGCCATTCTATCCTAGCATGGGCGTTGGTGTCCATCTGTGGGATTCTAACGTCGAAATCAGAGACGCTTCAGCCAAGGATTTTGTCAAATGGATTTCGAGACAACCCGAATGGAGGAAAATGTGGGGGAGAGACCATTTCTTTGCTTATGGGAGGACTGCTTGGGATTTCAGAAGGCAAGAGGATGATAGTTCTGATTGGGGAAGTAAACTCAGGTTCTTGCCCGAGTCCCTGAACATGACTATATTAATAGAAGGAAGCGAATGGAAAAACGACATCGCAATTCCGTACCCGACAAACTTTCATCCTACAGAGGACAGTGAGGTGGTTGCATGGCAAAACAAGGTGAGGAAACAGGAAAGGCCTTATTTGTTTACTTTCGCAGGTGCACCGAGGCCTAACTTGGAAGGTTCTATCCAGGGAAAACTTATCGAACATTGCCAAGCTTCAAATAACTGCAATTTTTTACACTGCACTGAAAAGATTTGTGGCAACCCGATTACAGTTATGAGGGCGTTTCAGAGCTCAGTTTACTGCTTGCAGCCAGTCGGGGACTCATTCACTAGGAGATCAGCTTTCGACGCGTTTCTGGCTGGTTGCATTCCAGTTTTCTTTCATCCAGCTACCGCGTACGCTCAATATTTATGGTACTTACCAAAGGATCATACCAAGTATTCGGTGTTTATTCCCGCGAAGGATGGAAATGATTTGAAAGAAGGCAGAATTGAGAATATCTTGCTTGGAATTTCGAAGGAAAAGGGGGCGGCCATGCGAGAGGAGGTCATAAGGCTAATACCAAAGCTGGTATATGCAGATCCCAGGGGAAGATTAAAGACTCCCGATGCATTTGATATAGCTGTGCAAGGAATGCTTGACAGAATAGAGAATGTTAGAAAGGTGATGAATGAGGGAAGGGATCCAAGTGCTGACTTTGCAGGTCTTGAGAATGATAAGTTCAAATTTCCTGACAGTACAGACTAAAAAACTAGGAGTAATTTATAGTGCATGTAAAGTATGTTCTAAGCCATTACTTATACTTCCTCCTTTTTGTTCTATTCAATTTAGGTTTCAAAACTCAATTAATAAGGAGGTAAACTGAATATTAGAGAATTTTTCTCATGTATTATTCTTCTCTAAAATGTGATCAACAAGGGGCAGATCATGTTCCTTAATGGCTAACCACACTTACTGCATATGCAATGTCTAATCAAATGCAGGCCAAGTATACTGGCATTCCAACAAGGAGTGGATACTGTTGATCAACATACTCACACAGCTAGACATTAACCACTAGAAGTGTGTCAATAGGTTTACGGACAGAACTTGGCTGCTTAAAAATCAGCAGTAGCTCCTGCTGCTAACCAATCACAGATGGACACATGTCCAATATGTGATTAAAAAATCAATTACTTGGACACATGTCCATCTGTGATTGGCCAGCAGTAGGAGCTGCTACTGATTTTTCAGCAGCCAAGTTCTGTTCTTTACATTGTCACGTTTCGTAGAGATAGGAAAATGCCTTTTGACAATTTAGACACTTAAATCAGGGTCCTTCATCTCAAACTCCTAAGACAAATATGTGTGTAGTGCAAACTCTTTTTTCAAAATCATCCTCTATCACCATTATGTCATCCACATGAACAATTAAGGTTGTGATTTTACCCTCTTATGCTTCAAGAATAAGGTATGATTAGAATTGCTTTGTCTATTCCCAAAACATTTTAAGAGGCTTGGCGAATCTTCCAAACTATGCTCTAGGAGGTTATTTTAGGCCATAAAGAGATTTCTTTAGTTTGTGCGTCTGGTCTTTGCCGAGGCTTCACCAGCATAATGGAGGTTGGAGAAATGGAAGGACCCGTTGTAGAAAAATTACAATAAATAGTTTCATAAACAAAACACAACAAATACAATAAATACGAAAGAAATCACCTATAAGTAGTAGAAAGATGGTTTTGGTTGAGGCATGGAGAACCGCTGACTTTAAAATTGATTTCGCACTATCTAGGAAGTACCACTATACAAAAGGTTTATTGCGCGTCGACCTTTTGTTTAAGTCGCAATTAAAAAAAAACGCATGTTATGGGCCTATTCATTTTTATTTATGCAAAAATCGTACGACTTCAGCCCTTCAACTTCGAAGCCCAAACTAGGCTTTGGATGACCATCTCATTTCTCTAACCTGTCTGAAAGCTCAGACACGGTTCTTTCTGAGGCACGGCTGCCACGCAAACGACTAGAGGCTGAGAATATGTCGCCTCCTTAAATGCATACATACGCGTCATCTGACACGCTGATATCACTACCACGATCGTTCAAACCGCTTCTAGATACAGCTAAAGGCCACCAACCATAAATCATAGTCACTATCAGTATAGATATATCCATGCTCTAGTTCAGCGTATGATCAAGGTTGCTTATTCTCCACTACCTATAAATAGAACCCGAGACCTTCGAGCTCAAGACCTTTGTCAAATTCAATCTCTACAATTAAACAAAACCTTGAGTGATTCTTCAATCAACCCAACGACTTTTCAGCACAAACTCAATTGCTCTTCAGCAAACCTCTCTTATATCTTTAGCTACAATCTTAAAGTCATCTTTTGAAGCAAACACTACATATGATCCCTAAGATCTAAAACTTTTACAGCTCTTCCATGCCATGGTATGATTTGGTTGATGTGCAATTCCAACCACCTTGATTTCCTCTTTGCTAGGGATACTGTAATATCTTGGATGTCCACAAAATAAATCTTAGTTGCGAAATATTCGAATCATGCCAAACTCACCACACCTCACTACAGCAAACGTGAGAAAAATGGTTGAAAGCTTTTGGTGAGCATATTCGAAGTACTTGCGGTTTTTCATCCATCATTGAGTTCCAACAACGATCTATGAAGACAACGCCGCATGTATTGACTAAACCAAGCAAGGATACATCCTGAAGATCAAGGGCGAAGCTATGATTTTTTAAACGGGTGGGCTAGCAAAAAATATTACCGCAAAATGATGTGATCAAATTTTTTTGTGTCCACATATCATTATAATCAACATGATAATAAAAATATTCAGGTAATAAACAAAACAATTATATGGATTTTCATTTATTAATTTCCAACTAACTTAAAAAAAAAATCATATATCTAATTGGAATTTTGACCCTTGAATCAAAAAATCATGCTGTGATGGGTTCAGGGACTACATTCACATATTTTAATTTAGAGACCAAAACTTTACTGGATAATATTAGGACTGGGTGGGCTATATATGGTGACAATAGGCTGCAGTAGACTAATTGATATGCTAATAGCCTAATAGACGTGCTAATTCTTTAGGAATCCGCACAAAACCTACCTAGGTTATAACTCACCTTAGCCGTGGGTGTAGCTCCGCCCTTGCTGAAGATGTGAAGTACCGATATGTTGCATTAACTCATATTTTTCTCCTTAGGTTATGGATTTTGTCTCATTAAGTTTTACCATAGCCAGATTTGGGTGAGACTTACTCCTACATGCAATCTCTATATGAGACTCGCATTTGCTACTTGTACTTATTAAACAAAACGAGTTCATCTTTACCTCCGACTATTTAAGTATTTACATACTCAAGGAGGAGTGTGTTATAGTTAGAATTATAAAACATGTGTGATTGTATACATCCGAAGTAGAGATTTTGGAGGAATTCTATGAGATCTTGAATATCTTTCCTATTAGTGTTTGTATTACTTAGGAAGAAAGTTTTCTCTTCCTTGTAAGATAAATAAAAGCACAAGATATGAGGAATAACACACAATTCTTCAAGCCTTATCCACGTAAAATTTTGAGAGTGAGACTTGTGATTGCTTAAAATACACAATGAAATCTCTTAAATTCTCTTGAATTTCCCAACTTTTAAAAGTCCTTATTTTCACCCTACTAATTGCTAATACACCCCACTTAATATTTGTTGTTAAATGAATTATATAAAATGACTATTAAACCCTATAAAGTAAAGCAAAACAATTATTTTCTTCCTACACCCCAAATCATTTAAAAAAGATCATAACCACATGTAAATTATATATATATTTGGCTTTTTAGTCAAACTGGTCATTGAGATTTGCATATCACATCACTTTAGTCCTTGAAATTTGAAATCAATAAAGATGGTCCTTGTGATTGTCTACCATCAATCATTTTGGTCATTCCGTGCAAAATTAAGTTAAATAAGGATCAAAATGATAAATATACCCTCAATTTAATAAACAATGGGCCAAAATAATTTGACAAAAATTAAGGGTATTTTCGTCATTTTATTCTTATTTAATTGAGATTTTTCATGGAATGACCAAAATGATTGATGGTGGACAAAATCAGGGACCAATTCTATTGATTTCAAATCTCAAGGATGAAAGTGAGAAGTTATGCAAATCTCAATGATCATTTTGGCTAAAAAGCCTATATAATTTTATGTACACCTGCACTCACAATGTCTTGTGATTATGTTTTTATTTTTTTTATATATAAAGAATGTTAAGGATTATGCAACATAAGAGATGAAGTACCTTGAAATATTCATATCTTCTTTGAGATAGTGTAGTATTGTTTTTTTTTTCTTTTGCTAAAAATTTTCAGGCACGTTTGCTGTTTATTTCTTGGGATGGTTTGTGGTGCAATTTCATTTAAGCATGATTGCAGAGCAGAGAATTTGCATGGACACAATCAAATAGCCCTTTCATGATTTTTTATTTCAGAAAAGCCAGCAAGTAGTAGCCATTTCTGAGTTTAAAATGAAATTCACATCTAAAGCCTAATTCCCCTAAATTGACAAAACCCTTGAAGCAGTAGAACCATGTGCACTGTTTGTGTGCTAAAGGCAAGGGGTTCAAATTTATTTTTTGGACAAGATGAACACTTGAGGTAGATTTTGGTGTGAGGTGTATGAAATGTGTGGTGTGTGAGGGTAGTTTCGGTTAATAAGTGTGTGTATTAAGATATTTTTTAGTTTAAAAAGTAAATGTGAGGTCTTTTAAGTATGTGATGTGTATTCAACAATAAGTAGAGTGCTAATAAAACAAGCTAAACAACCTTTCCTAATTGAATTCACATGAAATATTATAAACTTTGTTAATTGTTTTTTTTTTGAACAAACGATATTATCTACACTAAGAAGAAGGGGTGAGCTTAGCCTCATAATGAGCTAACAATAATGTGGTTCTAAAATTGCTTTTGGCGAGAATCAAACTTCTCACTTACAAGTGAAGAAGTATACCAATAGATCATAGTTTTAAACGGGACCCCTAAGCTTATTAAAAGAATTAAAATTTCTCAAAACTTCAATTGAGCAGACTCCTAAAAAAAATAAAAATTTTCGTCGTTTATATAATAATATATAATGTACCATCTATATCCGAAACACGATAAACAATTATCGTAGGCATGGGGCCGACGTGGCCTACGTGGTACAAGTACAAATTAAATCATGGGTACAGTTTGATTCGGTCCATACAAGTGTTGTTAGTTGGAGGACGATGATGACCTTGACCACGAGGAATTCGTTCGGTGTGCTCGGCTTTTGGAGATCTGCAAAAAGTTAGATTGATGGAGTAACGTCCGTTTGTTTGTCGGCTGATTTACGTACTGACGTTACACGTGGGTAAATAATATTGGCGCCGACACTTGTTTACCACGTTATCATAAACGTGACCGGTAAACAAGCATTAAATCGTGGGTTTATTTTCCATTTATCAACACAAATTTTTTAATTATTCACTACTTTTTTTACCATAATAAGACAACGCACAGAAAAATGAAAAAGGAAAAAGAAAAGAAAAAAGGAAAAGAAAAAGCGACTATTGTCACCAGGAATTCTTTTGAGAGTTCACAGCAAATTTACTCTGGAATTCTTTGAGATGATACTTGTGTATCATTTCGTATTCCGAACATATTGAAATTTTTTTCAATGAATATGACTGATTTTTTTTCATTCATTTCCTCCCTTGTCCTTTTATCCTCTTCTCTCTCATTTCTACTTTTTGTAAAGAAGTTAGCATAAGATATTAGCGTAACTTAACTGTAACTGTGCAAATAGGAGAATATTGAAGGGGAAGGAGAATTTGAAGGGGAGAGATTCCCTCTTCACTAGAGAAATCTTTTCTACACTCAGAACACAAATTTGTACATTATATCATTATAAAAGAATAAATGATACATTTTTAATGTCACTTTGCTTATATTATGAAAATATTATATATACTAATTAACACAATGAATTAGTGATACGAAAAAATCTTTCCATGAATACGCATTCACAGTATTAATGAAGTCGGACTTTTTTTTTTATTCCATAAACAAAGCTTTTTATTATTCCAACAAGATTCTTTTCGAATTCTTTTGGTGATGATTTTGATGATCCGTAAATAATGTTTGTTTATCGTACATCATATAGTCAGTTATCGTCAGATATTGTTTGTGTTTAATTTTAAATAAAAATATTTAAAATAATTTTTTATTGTACAATATACGATAAACGGACATGATTTATGAATCTGCGAGATTCTTAAAAAGGGATCCGGATTCTTTCCGGATTCTTTTCTACTCTCTCTCTCTCCCCCTGTATTTTTCTATATTCTGCTATGCGCCTGTAGGACTTCAGTAACTGGAGACTTTGTTGCTCAGGAGCGAAGACGAAAATGGAGAAAGTACACACTGGAAAATGCCCCCAAGAAGTCTGGTTTGGCATCCTTATCTCCTTTGCTTTGTGTTTTGTCTTGTTTTCCTTTGATCATTCCACTTCTTTGAGTGTTGATGTTTTGGTGAATGAAAAAGAAAACCCAATTCGAGTTTTGAACTTTAGCCACACCAAAGATTCGTGTTCGGATCGATACATTTACATTCACGACAGTCTTCCCGCGAGATTCAACGACGATTTCATCAACAACTGTGAGTCTCTTAGTGCCGGAACTAGCATGACTAATGTCCCAAACATGTGTCCTCACCTTGTTAATTTGGGACTCGGTCCTAAAATTAACAACTCCGACGGTGTTTTATCGAACGCGGGCTGGTTCGTCACAAATCCCTACTTGTTGGAAGTCATATTCCACAACAGGATGAAGAAGTATGAGTGTCTGACAAGAAACTCAACTCTTGCTTCAGCCATTTATGTGCCGTTCTATCCTAGCATGGATGTTGGTGTCCATCTGTGGGATTCCAACATCGAAATCAGAGACTCTTCGGCTAAGGAGTTTGTCAAGTGGCTTTCGGGACAACCCGAGTGGACGAAGATGTGGGGGAGAGACCATTTCTTTGCTTCCGGGAGGATTTCTTGGGATTTCAGGAGGGAAAGAGACAATAGTTCGAATTGGGGTAGCAAACTCAGGTTCTTGCCCGAGTCTTTGAACATGACTATGTTGTCAATCGAAGGAAGCCGATGGAAAAATGACGTTGCAATTCCGTACCCAACAAACTTTCACCCTTCCAACGACAGCGAGGTGGTTCAATGGCAGGACAAGGTGAGAAAGGAAGAAAGGCCTTATTTATTTACTTTCGCCGGTGCGCCGAGGCCTAACCAGGAAGGTTCTATCCGGGGAAAACTTATCGAACACTGCCAAGCTTCGACTAATTGCAATTTCTTACATTGCACTGAAAAAATTTGTGGCAACCCGATTACTGTTATGAGGGCGTTTCAGAGCTCAGTTTATTGTTTGCAGCCTGCAGGGGATTCATTCACTCGGAGATCAACTTTTGATGCGTTTCTGGCTGGTTGTATCCCCGTTTTCTTTCATCCTGCTACCGCATACACTCAATATTTATGGTACTTGCCCAAGAATCATACCAAGTATTCGGTGTATATTCCGGTGAGGGATGTAACAGATTTGAAAGAAGGCAGCATTGAGAAAATCTTGCTCGGAATTTCAAAAGACAGGGAATTGGCAATGAGGGAGGAAGTTATAAGACTAATTCCGAAGCTGGTCTACGCAGATCCCAGCTCAAGATTAGAGACCAAAGACGCGTTTGATATAGCTGTGCAGGGAATTCTTGAGAGGATTGAGAATGTTAGGAAGGAGATCAGAGAGGGGAGAGATCCTAGTATTGGTTTTGCAGATGAGGATAATGGTAAGGTCACATTTCCAAAGACTATCGAAAGCCTGAATTGATTGAATGCCGCGGATGCTGTGTAAAAACAAAACGATTGCAAAATAATGCCGGCTGTTACTTCTGAGGTGCTTGCTGCTGCAACCCGATCACAGCTGAGCTTAGAAAGTTATTCCAGTTCTTACATGTTATTTGTCTTTCCAGGTTGCTTTCGGATTGCTTGTCTAGTAAATTTAAATTACTGTAACACGGGTTGTCGGAACCCTTAAGTTTAGTTTAGAGTAGAAATATCGATTGTATTAAAATCAATAAAAAAGATATTTGAAAGGTAAACCAATTTGTTTTGCTAGCTAGTCTATATTTGCTGACGCTTGCTTGAGTTGGAGTGTGTCAAAACTGGAAAGATAACGAGTTACTTGAGCTGGATGTGAAGCATCCATATCCGTCTCTCAGAACACAACCACTTGGTTGCTTGAGCGGATCAAGTTTGTTCTACGTGCTTGTTCGATCATCTAACCTTGATCACAGTTGCTTGTACTTTGTTTTCAGAATATTTATGGCTCCAAACTAATGTGCTATGTTATACCTTAATCATGATTACCAAACAAAAACAAATAAACTTAACTGGGAATGATTTAGATTGCAAGTAAACTAAGGTGAAGGCCATAAGTTATTTCAAAGCTCGGTCCTCATACGCACGCTCCGTTGAAGAGATGTTCTTCGGCAGAGCGCTGCTCCGATTTAGAGACCAAATGAAGAAACCGCTAGCCAAGTGTTTGAATGTGCAAGCTTTTGTGATTGGCTAATTTCCTAGATAAGTATAACGTGTATGTGAGATTAGTTTCTAGGCTAATGATTTGAAGACTTGCGTGTCAAGGACAATCAAATGCAATCTTATTTCGTGGATGACTTAAAGCATGGGGGTGTATTCAATTGAGAATTTGAGAAACTTTGATGGATTTATAAATTCATGGATTTATGGAGTTTAATTGATTTGTAGAGATTTCATATAAATTTTTTATTCAATTCTCTCGAAATCTCGTGGGGAGAGGTGAGATTTGTGGATGCTTAAAATACACTACGAAATCTCTCCAATTCCCTCTAATTCCTCAACTTTCTCAAATTCTTTAAAATCAATTTCTAATTGAATACACCTAGAATGTTATAAACTTCTTTAAAATCCTAATTGAATACATCTGGATTTCTAAGAATTTTAATAAATTATCTTAAAATTCTAATTGAATACACCTTGAAATTCTGAGAATCACTTAAAATCTTGATTAAATACCTCTAGATTCATCAAAAAAATTAAAATCTCTCAAAATCTCAATTGAATACACTCTCCTTAGTTTGATTATATCCATTTGTTGACCCTAGAAACTACAAAGCCTACGTGGCGCGCAGGCCGAGTATATTCTAAGCTAACTACGTCCTTCGGTGATTGCGGGGCGTGCCAACTCGTCGGCCGAGCTCGGCCGAGGAGTAAATTTGATGATGTTGCGTTGAGCGCGCTGCTGACTTCTGTGTCTTGCGATTGCGGCCGAGGAAGGAACAATTCTCGGCCTCTTGGGTTCTAGAGCCTGAAGACAAGGCTGCTAATTTGCGAAGTTCAATCTCAAATTCGGCTGTCAATGTGCCGAATACAGTAACCTGGTAACACCCCACTTCGCCGAGAAGGCTGATGAGATGACCTCGACCAATGAGGATTCGGAAATCCTTCTCGACCGAGACTTGGATAGGTAACCAGTCGTCCTCGCCGTAGTGCTGTTGATGCCAACGGAAGATGCTGCGAGATCGGCTGATTCTACGGTGACAGAGCTATCTATGCCGACTTAAGATATCACCGGTTGCCTTCACAGTGCTGTTGATGCCAACGGAAGATGTGTCGGCGAAAAAAGAAAATAAAAAATCTCAAGGTGTTGAGAAAGTTTGCGCAGGGCAGTTTTGTGTGTGTTGGAGGTCCTCTTGAATGATGCACAGCCTCCTCTATTTATAGCACTAGATACCTTTGAAGTCGAGTGAAAACCCTACTCGAACTAGGTCTTCTTCTCCGGATCAAACACCCACTCGACCAGTCCTATGTTTACTAGGATTGTGAGCCTAGTCCTCTATTGAGCCGGATTCACTTCCGGGTTATTACCCTTGCCGAGACTACTTATCGCGTTAGGACTCGACTAGTAAATGTAATATGACCTAGCCGACCTAGGTTTAGGAGCCCACGTACTAAATGATCCAAGGCTCCCCTGTCGCCAGGCCTCCCGGGCCGAGAGTGGTTCTATACTCGGCCCAACATGTTAATTTGAGCCCAAACACTCTTACTTGAGGATATAATTTGCATCATATCCATCCCGTTTAAGAATATGTCAAGATAATTCAAATTTAAAAGATAATCATGATAAAAACCATAATATTATCTTTTAACAAAAATATTTTCACTTTTCCATCCGACGGCTGAGAACTATGTTTACTCTACGGTCTCGATTACACGGGCCGATGATGTAAATTTGGGTCCAAACATTGCCCCCCAGTTTCCTTGAACTTCGGCTCGTAAGCCGAATGATTAAGGAAATTAAGTATCTCCAGCCTAATCAGATGTACTTTTGACCGTCATCCCTTGCTGCTGTTTACTCACGGCTCCTTTCGACCAAAGAACAACTCATGGCCGAAGATAAACAGTTATGAACCAGGGTCGAGAAGAATTGGAATTGGGGTCGAGGATAAATTTGGCCGAGGTCGAGAAGAGTCTTTCCTTGGCAGCTCGGCCTGCCTACATATATATGCATATCAAACCCATTGTCAGCAATCATGACTATATACATATATATATATATATATAACCTCAAAACAGCAACCATGACTTATTCGGCCAAACTTTGACCCTAGCATCTTCCTGATTAAATGGTTTTGAAACTTGTCCCCACACTTTAACCATAGGCATGGTACTATTGATATCAGCGAAAATAACTCTTCTCGGGTCGGCTTGTTTGTCGAGCTCGGCTAAAAACAAAAATGACCAAAATTTTGCCGAGCACACCACTTGTTGCCCCTCTTATTTTTCTTAAGTATCGGTCAAGGGCCGAATGGTTAAGAAAATAATTTATTATATATAATTATATTTTTAGCAAACGAAAAGAAAAGTGGCCGAAACGTAGTCAGGAGGAGGCCAACGATGCTTTATTCCAAGCCAAGATCTTTTTACATCAAAATTTTCACTCTGACATTTTCCAAAACCGAATAAAAGATCATCTCCCAATATTTCTGACTTGGTGAAATATTTTGCATTTTCGGCCGCCGAATGTGTGGAACAAGTATTATGCCCCCCAGGCATAATTTCGGCGTTTAATTCAAACAACTTAGCCGAATAGGATTTCTCCATATCGACTTTATCGCCAATAATCATATCAATTGGCGTAGATTCTTGGGCTAGGCCAATATCTCGGCCTCGTTCGTCATTGGAGCACTCCTCTGACGAATCATTTTCTGAGTCGATTTGTGGCTCAGAAACTTTAACTTTTTCTTCTAGGCCTACCACACTTCCAGTCTCGACCGAAAAAATAGGTGGCCTAGGTTTTTCTTCGTGGCCGACCATATCTTCAGCCTCGACCGAAAAAAATAGGTGGCCTTTGTTCTTCGGCCAAATTAACAATTTTCTTAGGCCGATGTCTGATTACGGCCGGAGCGAAAAATTGCCCCCCGGCCTTTGAGCCTAACCATTTTTCAAATGGAATTGATCTGTAATCAGAAACGTAAGGAAAATTTTCTTCATCTAGCCAGGCATTAAATCGAGCCCTGTCTTCATTTACCCATTGCCTTTGCAGGGTAACAGGAGCTTTTATTCTCAACATGCAAGCGAATGACTTTTGCATCTCTCCATGGCCACGAAGAACTTTTTCCACTTCCAAAGATCTTTTACATTCCTCATTGTGTTTTCTCAATTCCTCTAGGAGCTCGTACAATCGGCTACGTTGAGCCAGATTGGAATCTTGATATATCATATGAACTTCGTAGTATTAGCACTGGGTCCCACTGGGCGTGCCAAAATGTTGACCCTAGAAACTACAAAGCCTACGTGGCGCGCAGGCCGAGTATATTCTAAGCTAACTACGTCCTTCGGTGATTGCGGGGCGTGCCAACTCGTCGGCCGAGCTCGGCCGAGGAGTAAATTTGATGATGTTGCGTTGAGCGCGCTGCTGACTTCTGTGTCTTGCGATTGCGGCCGAGGAAGGAACAATTCTCGGCCTCTTGGGTTCTAGAGCCTGAAGACAAGGCTGCTAATTTGCGAAGTTCAATCTCAAATTCGGCTGTCAATGTGCCGAATACAGTAACCTGGTAACACCCCACTTCGCCGAGAAGGCTGATGAGATGACCTCGACCAATGAGGATTCGGAAATCCTTCTCGACCGAGACTTGGATAGGTAACCAGTCGTCCTCGCCGTAGTGCTGTTGATGCCAACGGAAGATGCTGCGAGATCGGCTGATTCTACGGTGACAGAGCTATCTATGCCGACTTAAGATATCACCGGTTGCCTTCACAGTGCTGTTGATGCCAACGGAAGATGTGTCGGCGAAAAAAGAAAATAAAAAATCTCAAGGTGTTGAGAAAGTTTGCGCAGGGCAGTTTTGTGTGTGTTGGAGGTCCTCTTGAATGATGCACAGCCTCCTCTATTTATAGCACTAGATACCTTTGAAGTCGAGTGAAAACCCTACTCGAACTAGGTCTTCTTCTCCGGATCAAACACCCACTCGACCAGTCCTATGTTTACTAGGATTGTGAGCCTAGTCCTCTATTGAGCCGGATTCACTTCCGGGTTATTACCCTTGCCGAGACTACTTATCGCGTTAGGACTCGACTAGTAAATGTAATATGACCTAGCCGACCTAGGTTTAGGAGCCCACGTACTAAATGATCCAAGGCTCCCCTGTCGCCAGGCCTCCCGGGCCGAGAGTGGTTCTATACTCGGCCCAACATGTTAATTTGAGCCCAAACACTCTTACTTGAGGATATAATTTGCATCATATCCATCCCGTTTAAGAATATGTCAAGATAATTCAAATTAAAAGATAATCATGATAAAAACCATAATATTATCTTTTAACAAAAATATTTTCACTTTTCCATCCGACGGCTGAGAACTATGTTTACTCTACGGTCTCGATTACACGGGCCGATGATGTAAATTTGGGTCCAAACACCATTATATACTGCTGAGTTTCCACCAGGTTTTCTACTAGCGAACCATAATTTTGCGCTAGAAAAAGTTTAAGGCAAGGAATTTGTGTTCTAGCTAGGTTAGAGGAGTAAAATCTGAGTGAAACACTTTCTTCTAGCATTCATATATAATTCGTAATGGCGAACTTTCGTGCTCTGAGGTGATCGCGTTTCAATCAAGGGGAGACAGAGAAAAGCAAGTATGAAGACAAGAGCACGAGCTGATCTTTGAGTTTGTAGGTTGTGTCTTTTATGAGTTGTATTTGAGCTCGTTTGAATATATTTTTAAAATGATTGAAAACACTTTTAATGAAAATGTTTTTGATACCAATTCTTAGTAAAAATTCAAGTGAATCCTGAAAAAAACACTTTAAGTGCTTGCAAGAAGCATATATCTGGTATTTCTTTTAAAAAACACTTAAAATACTTTTAGAACTCAAGATCAATTTAACTAAAAGCTCTTTCAGATATTTTAAAAGCACATCCAAATAAATCATTTGTTGTTTGAAATTAGTGGACTATTTTCTGGCAGCGGGCTCGTATATTTTCCTCCTCGTTAGTGGAATTTTACCATGTTAAAGAAATCCTCGGGTTTGAAAACTGTGTGAGACAATCGACGGTCTTATTTGTATGATTACATTCACCCCGCTCTAAAGATCTGATTAAATCTTTATGTACTTATCGATAATATACATGACTCAACATCTTTTAAGCAAAGCTTCCTTTTCCGATGCGTCGTAATAAAGCCAACATATTCAACATTAATTGCTGCTCACTCCATGTTCATGTAGCCCCCCCTTGGTTGAAAGGAATTTCTTCGGCTTCAGCTTTGTGTCAAAATATCTACTGGAACTTTACTTTGACAATAAAACACTGCCGTCCTCGAGAAGGTATTAATACTATTTGCCGATTACAAATGCAACAGAAAGACTCAAAATATCTACCAAATAAACACATCCAACCGTACAAAAAGATAACACTCACGCTGATAAAACCTTTCATCACTTTCGTATGAACTTGCAAAAGACAATGCTTCTTCGACAAAGAAACATTGGTATGAGTATGACACATCACGAAAATGTTCTCGTAGTCCCTTGTAGCATACCAAAAGCATATATACGTAAATTACAATAGGAGGTTTCACTAGCATCTATATCTATCAGAACTGGAAAGGTAGCAAACCAAAGTATATACCAAAAATTATACCAAGAGTTTCTTGCAAGACAAAGGCTACGGTTCATAGTGCATCATGTCCAAAAATTTTGCAAGATTAGTTTCAAAACTCATCCTACTTCTGCATGATTAGCTTCAAAAATTATGCATCAAAACCTCAAAATCAAACACTTTAAAAAAAAAAAATCCTAATAGTTCTCGTAAAGGAAAAAAAAAACTCATAAATCTAAGAAACAATACGAAGAAAAAGAGGAGGTAAAGAGAAAAAGAGAGAGAAATAAGGAGATGAAAACTCATCTTAAAAAATAGAGGGATAAATTTATAAATGTAAAGACAATTATAATCTCTACTAATTAATAAAACACTTATTGTCAACAAAAATCTTATGAAATTACCAGTTTAACCATCTAATTAAAACAGAACATGAATAAGAAATATGGGGCAGAAATGTAATTTCACACAACCAAATTTTACTGTTTTTTTTTTCAAAACCTCACCTATATGTAATCATAACATATCTCTAATTAAAAAAAAAAAAATTTCCCACTCCCACATTCTCTATCACTCTCTTCCTCTCTCCTTCTATTTCAAAAACAAAAATAAAAAAATTTCTCACACACTTTGTGTGTGCCCATATGCTAGTAATAACTATAATAACATCACATGCCATGTGAATAAATTTTTTTTCCATCTATAAAACAAATTAGAAAACTTATCAACATAAAAATAATTTGCTTAGGTCAAAAGAAAAATGACTTATTTGGAAGTGTTTTAGAATGACTAGAAATGCTTTTGGTAAAATTTATTTTGAATTTCTTGCAAGATGCACTTAAAGTGCGCTTTTTCATGATCTACTTGGATAAACCAAAAATTAAAGTGTACCAAAAGTTTCTTGCAAGACGAAGGCTATGGTTCATAGTGCATCATATCCAACAATTTTGCAAGATTGGTTTCAAAACTCGTCTCACTTTTGCAAGATTAGCTTCAAAAATTATGCATTCAAATCACCATAATCTCAAAATCAAATAATAAAAGCACCAGATATGTGTTCTTACAAAATGCACTCAAAATACTTTTTCATGATCTATTTAAATTTTCTTCCAAGAATTAATTTAAAAAACATTTTAATCAAAATACTTATGCTTATTTTAAAAACACTACCAAACTAGCTGATGGTTTCTTCCTCATGAACCGGTTCTTCACGTTATTGGTTTCCTATTTGGCCGGGGTTCAATGGAAGAATAAAATAAGGGAAAAAAAACTTTGGTAACAGTTTTCTTCAACACGAGGTCATCATCCAACAGATAACAGACTGTTGAGCTACAGTGTAGGCTGAATTGTAGGAAACTGACTGGTGCATTTACCATTAGTTCAAAATGACAAAAATACTCCTTCGAGATTCCTTCTCCTGCCTGCAAAGTGCAAACGTAGAATTTTCAGTCTGTTTTCTGTACAACAAAAAGAATAAAAATAAAATAAAATAATGCCATCCATCTTCTTCCATTCCTTCGTCTTCTTCTTTCTGCATGAACCCTTCTGCCACCTATGTCCCGAAGTAGGCCCCACCTTGATGCAATCCTCTCCTAAAAGACCAACAGCACCCCTCCAACTCCAACATGTCCATTTCAGATACAGTGACAGCCTAGCAGGCATTTTTCTGTCAAGAAATTTGTGATTCATGTGAAGAGGGTTTGTTCATCGTAAATGGTGGCAGAGTTGTATATATCTGCAGTTGTAAGGTCGTGTATCATCCTGTTCCTGTTGGCTAATCCAACAGGGACACTTGTCATAAAATACCTTTAGAGAGAGCCAATGTCCTTTGAGTGATTTGAAAGCATGTCTAAGGATTTATGCTTAATTATGTAGTAAATGTAAGCATGTCTAAGGAAATAGCAGCATTTTGTAAAAATAAAATCAAGGGTCTTTATTAAGTGATTCAATTGCGATCGTTTTTCCATTCATCTTTCGTTGTCTTTTCGTTTTCTTGCCTTTTTCTTCCTCATTTTCTTGGATTCATTTGCTTTTTCTCCTTTTGTCCACTTACCATGTAAATGCCATCTTAATCAGATCACCTCCCTTTCTTTCCCATTTTCCAAATTTCATCATCGATCCCTTCACATAAAAAAAAAGATTTCACTGTCAAATTTTCAATCAGTATTCTGTCCCAATTAATATTTCCATTTGCAAAAATTCTCCCACACCATATATTTTGTTTCATGTGTTTCTTTCTCTCTTCTCCCTTGAGACTATTCCGGTGAATCCGTCACGACCGGAGATATATTCTCCTGGCAGAGAGGGTTTGTGTGATCGAAGAAGGTCGAATGGAGAAACCACTCGCCGGAAAGTACTACAAAGAAAAATGGTTTGGTGTACTAGTCTCATTTTTCTTGTTCTTTGTATTGCTTTGCTTTGATTATTCAACTTCAATGTTGGGTGTCTACAGTGGGGTAAATTTGTTAGTCAATAAACATGTTCGTCCATTCTACCTCAAAGATTCGTGTTTTGGCCGCTACATTTACATCCACGATGATCTTCCAACACGGTTCAACTACGATCTCCTCGCAAACTGCCAGTCCCTTTCGACAGGAAGCAAGGCCCTTAGTGATCAAGGTGCGAATACTGGTGACAATATGTGTCCTCACCTTGTGAATTCGGGTCTTGGTCCTCAAATCGGAAAGCCCGGCAAGGTTTTGGCAAACAAGAGTTGGTTCATCACAAATCCCTACTTGTTAGAAGTCATTTTCCACAACAAGATGAAGACGTACAAATGCTTGACAAACAACTCCAATCTGGCTTCAGCCATTTATGTACCGTCATATACCGGCCTTGATGCGAGTCGCCATTTGTGGGATTTTGATCACAATGTCAGGGACGCGTCCGCGAAAGATCTTGTGAATTGGCTTACGCGGAGGCCTGAGTGGAAGAATGTGGGGGAGAGATCATTTTTTCGTTTCCGGGAGGACTTCTTGGGATTTCAGGAGGCCCGACAATGGTTCTGATTGGGGTACTAACTTAAGGTTTTTGCCGGGGTCGATGAACATGAGTATGTTGTCGGTTGAAGGAAGTTGTTGGAGAAATGACCTTGCTATACCGTACCCGACAAACTTCCATCCTTCAAACGATAGTGAGGTTGTTCAATGGCAGAACAGAGTGAAGAAGTACAAAAGGCCTCACTTGTTCTCTTTCATCGGTGCGCCGAGGCCTGGCATGCAAAAATCGATCAGGGGAAAACTTATCAATCAGTGCCAAGCATCAAACAACTGCAAGTTCGTGCATTGTGGTTCTCCTGGGATTAATTGTAACGACCCCGTTACAGTTATGAGGGTTTTCGAGAAGTCGGTCTATTGCTTGCAGCCTCCAGGTGATTCACACACAAGGAGATCAGCATTTGATTCTTTACTTGCTGGTTGTATTCCGGTCTTCTTTCATCCTGCGACTGCATACACGCAGTACTTATGGCATCTGCCGGAGAAACATACTAAGTATTCGGTGTTTATTCCGGTGAAGGAAGTGGAGGATTTGAAAGAAGGCATGATCGAGAAAACTTTGCTTCGAATTTCAGAAGAGAGGGAATTGGCAATGAGAGAGGAGGTCATAAGGCTGATACCAAAGCTGGTGTATGCAGATCCCAGGTCGAGATTAGAGAGCGAAGACGCGTTCGATTTAGCTGTGCAGGGAGTTCTTGAGAGGATAGAGAATGTTAGGAAGGTGATTAGAGAAGGGAAGGATCCTAGCGTTGGTTTTGCAGATGAGGATTGGACTAAATTCATGTTTCCGGAGGCACCAGAAGAATATTGATTGATGTAAAAAGAGAGAAGAATATGAAGACATTCAAATTAATCATAATTTTACTGCCATTTGTTTGTAGAAAGTTGTATGATGCTTATTCCAGCATTCAAAGAAATATAGATTTACTGCTTTCTTTTATATACAGCATAAAAATAAAATGTGCTTACTTTTTCGTTGTTTGATCATTGTGTTCTTCTTTTTGCAATTTTGATTTGACATGAATAGTCCTCCTCCTGATTTTGGTGAAATCTTTCAGTATACCAAAAACACGATTAGGTACACCATTTCGGTTTGAACAAGAGAAAGACGTGTCGAGACGGTGGTTCATCAAATTGTCCAATGCTCTTAAACTTGCTAGGTTTCAACATCATGCTCCGATTACTCACTTTTCGTCCGAAGTTGTCAAGGCAAAAGAGCTCTTTTTCCTCATTGCCAGTGCTAGATTGAGCGTAATTATGTTTTGCTTTGCCTATTGAGAGCCAATAAAGAGCATTTTACCTAAATCAGATGAACCCCGCTTGCTGTGATTAACCAATTATTAAAGACTAATTTGTGTCCCCAGCAATAAAAAGATTGAGGATATACAAGTGAATCTTAATCATATGGACCCTTTCACCTTATTTCAAGTAGAACTCAGTTGGAACCTGATACCCGCCATATAGCAAAACTTAAACCTGCAACCTTTAGGTTAAAATCCCAATGCTCTACCAACTGAGCCATACGCTGCTTTGATGGAGATTTATAGCATCATGCAAGTAAATACAGATTGAGATATTAGAAACATGAGCTTGTGCCGTGTGATATAGCTACATCTAATTTCGGACCGGTTAATGCAAGAATCATAAATAAAGGACCAGGATCTCCTATAAAAAATGAAAGATCATTCCTACATATTATAGTCCAAGCGAACCCACTTAAAATCTTTACTAAAAGTATCATAATACAATCGGTTAGAAGTTTTTTTTCTAAGCATCCAACCGTTTGCATTATGACACCTCTCGGTACACTAGAAAGTCTCTCCTAATTCTACTGGCCGCTGAGGCCTTGAGTTTGTCAAAGGCAATGGCCATACCGAAAACTACATGTACAAAAATTAATTCTTTTTTAACACGTAAAGAATCAAGTATTTTTTATACTTTAAACAAACGACTTGGCAATCATTGAATCATCAAAAAACATATTGCATGTGATCTATATGAGCGTTTATACGCGTGTACCGATCATATTTGTCATTCCATTAGAAAAAGAACATTTTGAGATTGACCACTAAACTCAAGTGGTGGTCTTAATTACTCCGCGTACAACGGAGCAGCGCACGCATTCGCTTTGTGTGTGATTGGATTTGGGCATCACAAACTGACTCTTGAATACCCTACCGACTCATGTAAACGTCTCTATTCGTCTACAAGTCAATAACACGTATTGTATTTTTTGGAAACTAACAACACGTATTGTTTGACGGAAAAAGAAAATGAGAAAAGCTGGCTCCTGGCTGCCTGTTCAAATCACAATGAAAAAGAGTGAGGATCCTCGCAGGATCCTCTTTGTGAGAATTCGAGAATCTTCAAATCACATCTGTTTATCGTACATCATGCGGTCAGAAATTATTGTAAAATTTTTAATTAAAATTGAATATAAACAGTACTTGACGAAAACTGACCACATGATGTACGATTAATAGATGTGATTGAAGGATTCCCGGAATCCTCACAAAGAGGATCCGGTGAGGATCCTCTCTCAATGAATAATACTTGATTACCCAAAGGATGAGTATGAGTTCTTAACTTAAAAATGTTTGTTGTTGATTCATAGAATTTCGTATTTATGATCATAGTTGTTCATACTATAAATCACTCAATAAAGACTGCATTTGCAAAAAATTCAATTAAAACTAAGGTCTTTTTGTAATACCCTGAAAATTTAAATATATGAATATGTGAAGAAAATCGAAAATAAATCGATTTATAGTCATGCAAATTGAGTTGAGAAATTTTAAAGTTTATTTCCGGAATTTTTATAATTTAGTTGGCTAAATTGAAATATACGAGGACATCGGATTTATTTCCCGAAAATAAATATTTCGGGGGTGGGGTGTTACAAAATGGTATTAGAGCAAATGATCATATCATACAATGTGAGATATTATTGCTTGTTGTGATGTGAATTGTGAATTGTGTTGATATTGTACTATTTCATAAGTCTTTTGACTAATGATGAATTTATGTGCAATGCCTATATTGTGAATCACTACGAGGTGAATTGAATTGGGTAGGAGTAAAAAATTTTAAGATGTCATATTTTATGTATAACTTTGAATATGAGTATTTGATTAAAGTTCTAGATTATTCTTGAATTGGATTGATATTATGTTATGCGTTATGAAAATTTTGAATAATAAGGTGATTGTGGAATAGTGACAAATAGATGGAAAAGTTGTATTATACCTGTGCAATAGAGAATGTTGATTTGGGCGGAAATGGCCCAAGGATGATGAATTGGGCGAAAAGGCCTGTGGATATTGATTTGGGGGGAAAAGGCCCGTGGATATTGAATTGGGTTAAAAAAGCCTGTGGATGTCGATTTGGGCGTGATTGCCCGTGGAATGGGAGGAATGTTTGGTTGGGCAAAAAGGGCCCAAGGATGTGTGATTGAGCAAAGTGACATTGTGAACGATGAATTGGGCGAAATGACCCGTGAAATGTGAAGGAATGGATGAGTGGGCATAAAGACCCTGTGTTTCTGGAAAGAAGCTTCATGTGTGGGCTATGGAAATGAATTATTGAAGTGATAAAAATGTGTGATGTGTATTGGCCAGGTATATTACAATATTTTTCAGTTTACTAGTCACTGATTGGGATAACAAGAAAAAGGTGATGAAACCATTGTTTGTCAATGATAATTATGGTTGGAATTTTAATATTTAGGAAAGTCGTGATGGGTTATTGAACGGGAATGAAATTATAAATTGAAGTTATGGTGTGGTTGTTATAGTCATAAGTTGTTATTTTTAGATTTGATATTGCGAACAGAACTGATGAAGAGCACGTATTCTCATGACTATGTGATTAATAAGGATTAGTTTTGGTTGGCCAATAGAGTTGTAAAACATATAAATTCCTCTTCTTTGGTTGATGAAATGTGAATAGTACTCTGGCAGTGCGAGTCACTAATTTATTCGATCTGTGGCTACACCTTGAAGCCATTTAAAAGAAAAGGCTTTGAAATAAAGAATTAAAAGGCTATTAATTTTACTATGGGCAATTTAGTTTAATTGCGGAAATGAAGGAAATCGTATAATGAGATTTTATGGTAACAATATTGTGGATATTTGTTTTAAGATATAAATAGTGGTTATTATGCTAGTATTTATCTAGCCAGTGGAAGATGAGATTTAATATCTAGTATTATTTAGCCAATGAAAATTAGAGCTTGTTGTTTGATGTTTATTTTGCCCAGGTGTGTGATTAGAAGTTCTGATATTCTTTTTACCAATTAAGTGGATGGAAATATGAGAAAATGTGTGAGAATCATGATGATTTGCCTTAATCTATTTATTTTGGAGTTTTATTCACCATTAAAGGAATGGTGGGAATAGTTCTAATTCCTTTTTGTAACGTAATAGTAGAAATCTCGGGGACGAGATTTATTTTAACCGGGGGGGGTGAATGTAATACCCTAAAAATTTAAATATATGAATATGGGGAGAAAATCGAAAATAAATCGATTTATAGTTATGAAAATTGATTTGAGAAATTTTAAAGTTTTATTTCCGGAATTTTTATAATTTAGTTGGCTAAATTGCAATATACGAGGACATCGGAATTATTTTCCGAAAATAAATATTTTGGGGGCGGGGTGTACTCGTTTAGTTATAGAATTATATAAAAATAGATAAATGGAATCAATAAAAGCATTATGAACTGTCTATATATTTGCTAAAATAGATTGACTAAAGAACCTCAATTTATATATATATTTTTTTTGCAGAGATGATCTCTATAGAATACTAGAGGTCGCACTTGGTGCGATGGCAAGTGCCTTCGCCCATGAGCGGTAGGTCTCGGGTTCGAGACTTGGGAGTAGCCTCTCCATAAATGGGGGTAAGGCTAGCCGACATTCACCTCTCCCAGACCCTGCGTAAAGCGGGAGCCTTGTGCACTGGGTACGACCTTTTTATGATCTCTATAGAATAACTCATAATATGAATAGTTCTGATCATAAACACAAAATTATGTGGTTCAAACACAAAGAGTTTTGAGTAGGAGTTCCTACTCATTTTTGAGAAGCCAAGCAATGTTCAATCACAATACAGCACACAAAAAGCATGTATATAAGTGCAATCAACCTCAATCAGTTTTCGACTTTCAATATTTTCTAAAAATTAAAATCTTGTTTGGTAACAACTTTCAGTTTTCAGTTTCAAAAAGAAAAAGAAAACTGAAAATTCTCAAGACTAAATTTTGAGAACACAAGTAGTTTTCAGTTTTTGGTGTTCAATTTTCAAAAATTAAAAATTGAAAGTAATTACTAATTAAGATTTCAGTTTTCCAAAAAACTGAAAAAACAAAAAACAAAAAACGAAATGGTTAACAGACGGCACCTGAGAGAATTGAAAAGAATAATTCTAAGTTTAAATTTAAAGAACATTACATTTTTAACTTATAATTGTGCTAAATAGGTACATGTTCTGAAAGAGGAGTATGAAATAGGGACCTCTAACATAGCATTTTGCTTTCGATCTTTCTTTACAATCTCTTGGCAGCTGCAGTAACGACCTGAAAACCAAGAACTGGCACTGTTTCATCCAGTTTCGAATCTTTCGACGTGCGATCTGCCATTGTAGGCCTGCACCTCCTCTTCCATCTCATTCTGTTGTTAAACAGAAAGAACTGTTGAACTCAAATCAAGTTTGTTCTTGTTTCTGATGAAATGTGTACTTGTAGCTATCCTCATCCGCGAAACCAATACTCGGATCATTCCCTTCCCTAATCACCTTCCTAACATCCTCAATCCTCTCAAGAATTCCCTTGATAGCCAAATCGAATGCATCTTCGGTCTCTAATCTAGACCTGGGATCCGAGTATGACAGATTCGGTATGAGCCTTATAACCTCCTCTCTCATGGACAATTCCTTATCCTTTGAAATTCCAAGCAAGATTTCCTCAATGCTGCCTGGCATATCGTCCGCAACCCTCACCGGAATGTACACCGAGTAGCTGCTATGATTCTTCGGCAAATGCCACAAATACTGGGAATAAGCGGCACCCGGGTGAAAGAAAACCGGAATACAACCAGCCAGAATGGAATCGAAAGTTGATCTCCTGGTGTATGAATCCCCTCCGGGCTGCAAGCAATAAACCGAGCTCTGAAACACCCTCATAACACTCGACGGGTTGTCACAATCCATGTTACCGCCCAAACTGCAATCGATTAACTTGCATCTACTCGAAGCTACGCACTGATCGATAATCTTCCCCCGAATCGAGCTCTGCTGGTCAGGCCTCGGTGCCCCAGCAAAAGTGAACAAGTAAGGCCTGTCTAGCTTCCTCATTCTGTTCTGCCATTGAACCAAATCGACCTCCTCCGCGGGATGAAAATTTGTCGGGTAAGGTATAGCAAAGTCATTGTTCCAAGAGCTTCCTTCGACCGACAACATAGTCATGTTCATAGACTCAGGCAACCACCTGAGCTTACTACCCCAATCCGAAACCTCATCCGTCTGCCTCCTGAAGTCCCAAGAAATTCTCCCGGCAACCAAGAAATGATCCCTCCCCCACAGTTTCCCCCACTCGGGTTTTCTCGCAAGCCAACTCACAAGTTCTTTCGCCGAGGCATCTCTAACCGTAAGATTCGAGTCCCAGAGATGGAGGCTCGCATCAAGGCCGGCGTAAAACGGGACATAAACGGCCGAAGCCTGACTGGAGATGTTTGTCAAACACTTATAGCGCTTCATCTTGTTGTGGAATATGAACTCCAGCAAGAACTGGTTCGTGGAAAACCAGCTCCCGTTCGACAAAACCCCTTCCGAGTTTTGGATTTCGGGACCGAAACCATAATTCTCAAAGTACATACATAAATTTGGCTTGTCGGTTCCTCTGGTGAGAAACCTACAGTTTCTTACCAAGTCGGAGTTGAATTTTTCAGGAAGATCGTCGTGCATATAAACGTAACGACCAAAACATGATGAATCCGTGATAGCGTGGTTCAAAACCCCAATTGGGTCGACTTTTTTGTTGGGCAAAAGATTGAGACCAGAGAAAGTAGAGTAATCAAAGGAAAGAAATATAATGCACAAAGCGGAGGAGATGAGAAGGGCAAACCAGAGTTCTTGAGAGCACTTTACTGTCGGTAGCTTCTCCATTGGTGTTTCCTGCTGAGGACAAAAATCCGCAGCCACTCATATCAGAAGAAAGAGAGACCAGGGGAGTTTGGAGTGTGAGAAAAATGAGAGATTTTTCCATGTCACCGGAATACGGAGTGATGCATAACATGTTATTATACAAATAGTAAGATATGTGTGTTAAAAAATTAATAACTTTAAAAATAAAATTTACCATCATTTATGTAAAAACACGTAATGTACTACTCGTGTTAATCACAATGAAAAATTTCTGGAGAATAAGATAGAAAAATGGAAAGAAATTAAAAGAAAGGGCCCCCACTGCATGAATAATGTGAAATGCAGGACAGGATGCGTAATGATAGGCCCAATGTTGGCGTCGATGCAAGTACAAAATTAACTTTAGAGAACATCGTTTCCTTTTCCAAAGTGGTGGTGGTGGTGGTGGTGTTGGTTAGACGATGACAAATGAATTGTGGAGTGATAATTATCGGGTTTTACTTTGATAGTCCGGCTTATCAAGTAGTCTTACCTTTTAAAAAATTTTCACTTTTTTATTTCTTAGAGTCAACTGTTTAAGTTTTTAAAGTTAATCTTCATCATTTATTTCTCAAACTACTCAGTAGTCGCAGACCATTGAAGAAAAAAATGAAAGATTGCTTTTTATTTTGATGAAAATTTTATATGAAGTTGTGGAGTACAAAATACTTGGAATATAGTAACAACATCCATGATTTTTTTTAGCCGAATCCGAGGTATCCACACCGCGAAGAGTAGACTAATCCCAATTGGGACTCGAAAAGGCTAAAGGCACCGTAGCCCACCATGACCACTTTCACACGCCATTTTAAAGCCTTCAACCAAGAAATCTCCTCTCTTTTTTTTGGCAAGCTCATGCCTTGAATTTAAAACCAAAGAGCAAACTTGACTAGAAATTCTACCGCATTTTAACTGAACCACTTGGCATTGATAAAAGATCCATGATTTTGGTGTTGGAGATGTGCAATAAGGGTATTACCGAGGGAGGGACGTCGGTTAGTTGGTCGGGGGTTTTGAAGTGCTTACACGAAAAACCGTGGGACACCGATCCTGAGTAGTAGCTGAAGATGAGGATGAATTATGGGATTATTTTACGTGACGGGGTCAAAATTCAAATGATATCATTCATTCATTACATTAAAAAAAAAACAACACGCATTGCAAGATATTCATTACGTGCTTATGGAGTGGTGCACTTGTGAGACCCGTTGTCTCTTTAGCCAACAAAAAATAAAGAACCCAAAAAAGGCAAAAGCAAAAGGCAAATTTAGCAAAGCAAAGCCTATGTAATTATTTCTATTTGTTTCGTTTCTCTCGTAAAAAAGCAAAATCATATTTGCTTGATCTCATGCACCTCCATTCTCACTCTTTTTTCTACATCACTTCTCTCATTCCAGGTAAATGATCATGCCATCAAACCAAAAAAAAAAAAAGTTATCTAAATACGAGAGAGTGCATCTACATATATCCATTCAAATTCGTATTTTATTTTCTTTTGCAAGCATATATATATATATATATATATATATATATTTTCAAAAAAGGACTCCCGTGGCCAAAGCCAGGCTTCCACATCAGTAGCAGGTTTCGAATCCGAGATTTTTAGTTTTTAATTTTAGAAAAATCTCGTAATTCATCATTTACCATTTAATCACCTGGTCAAATTGATATTTTGAATTACACCAATTTATGAGAAATTAGGTTATTGTGTAGAGGGTTTTCAACGGTACAATTCCTTTTTGATTTGACGTGAAATTGTTGAACGCGTGACGCTTTTTGTTCTATCTCGAAGTCTTTAGGCTATGAGATTTTCTTTGAAATTATATTTTTACCGAGCCCCACTAGGGCCACTGCGTCAATGCACAATGCCTATCTCGCTGTAGGGTGATTTGTTTGTAAAGAAGAGTGTAGTTCCACAAGCTTCTGTTGTTTTTGTGTGCCGACACTTGAGTTGGGACCCGCTAGTGCCTTGGATGGCAAAGTTTGAGATTTAGGCTGCCCATATTACGCCCTTGATCGTGGCTTCGTGTTCCACAAAATTTCCATTCCAATACATATGGACCCCTAATCAATACGTTTTTTTTACTGTGAAATGAGGAGCCGTTTGATAATTATTTCGTTTTCAATGCAGCTTAAAAAAATGAAAAATGAAAACCAAGAAGTGTAAACCAAGACCAAATTTTGAAAACTCAAGAAAGTGGTCCTTACTACAATGGTGGAAAGCTGCTGAGTCCTTGCATGATGACGTGTGTTCAAATCCCGTCGTTAACTAATTTAACAAAATCTATCGTTTGACAAAAAAAAAGGTAGTTTTCAATTTTCAAATTTTTAAAGCTGAAAACTGACCCTAGTTATAAAAAAAAAAAAATCAATTTTTAGTTTTCAAAAGAGTGAAAGCAAAAACTGAAAACGAATTGGTTATTAAACGACACCTTAGCTTAACAAACTTTTGTTTCACCATACCATTCATTATGGACTTATGAAGTTACTTTTGATAGTTTCCAAAAAAAAAAATGAAGTTACTTTTGATTCATGTCAACACGTTAACAAAGATAGTGCTCAAACTCAAACCATCAAAACAAATTTGAGCATAGCTAATTTGCTTACAGCAGTGTACACTTTCTTCTAAACTCAAAATCGAAGTCTCTCTTGTAATTTAGATTAAACTATTGCTCGAATAATTTTTTTTTATTATTAGCACTGCAAAAATTTTAATGCGCACTTCAAATATTCTATATTAAAAAAAAACTCTTATGAGGAATACACAAGAAAATATTTGGAGTGCAGGATAAATGCTTTATAAGTATCTATTTAAGGAAATAAAAATATCAATTTTTGAAAGAAGATCAGCTGATAGTTTCGTCACGATAGTCCACAATCTTGGAGAATAAAAATAAGTTTAGACCGTAATATCAAATGACTGAGCTACAAGGAAGTTATAATTACTCATGATAATGCCAAAATATTAATGCAAACTCAGATGAAGGGAAAGCTTGTAATTTGGGCCTGGGCTTGCATTACATTGATAAAATAAGAAAACCCAAAAACCTTGAAACCAAGAAATACAAAAACCCAAAACCCTCCAAAAGCTCAGAGGAGCAGAGAGCAGGCAGCAATGGAGTCTGAGGTGAGTTTCTCTTCTGCCCTATTAGCCTAGTCCTTCCCTTATACTGATTCCCGATTACGAAGTCTCAATCTTTTGCTGAATGCTGAATCTTCATTTCCGCGTTTCTCAGAAACCAAGTTTCGAACCGTTTCGGCTGTTTTCATCGCCAGGGTCGGGGTTTCTTGAACAATCAGAGCCCCCTCTTCCTCCGCCGCCTCCTTCCGTCCAAGTGCTTCCCTCCGAGGTGTTAATTAGTTAATTACTGCTTATTAATTTACTTTGATTAAGAATTATTAGCGTAATTTGTGGTTTTAAACACACAAATGATTGATTTAATGTGGAATAGGTTTCGTCGTCTGTGAAGTACACCGTGGAGCCGGTGGAGTTGGGCGGACTTACTTTGCTCAAGGTCACTTTTTTTTCCGTTTTCTTTCTGTTTCTGTTTGGTTTCTCAGAAAATGGAGCAATTTACATTTCAATCTTTTCTCCAAAAAAAAAAAAGCTGATTTTAGTATAATTGGTAGTTTCTGAAGTTAAGTTTGATTTGAGTGTAACTTAGAGATCGTGCGTGCTTTGATTGTAGGGTCGCGTTAGTACTCAAGACGTTTTCACGCTGTCCAACTCTGATTTAGTTCCTGGGAAATATGAAGGTTATACATTTCTTCCATCTTCATCTGTTTGTTAGTAGTCATTCAATAATTGAAATGATGTTTGATTGAGTTTATCGTATTCTTTTTTAAAAATCGTGTCTTTTGTTGATGATGCGCTGCGGCACCCAAATGTGATGCTATGTATTTGGTTTTGGCGGGTTGTAGGGGGATTAAAGCTGTGGGAAGGTTCTCTTGATCTAGTTAAAGCTCTAAGCTCTGAAGTTCAAAATGGAAATTTATCATTTGCCGGTAAATGCGTTTTAGAGGTGGGCATCCTAATATTTTCAGGTGAATGTATACTGTCTCACAATACCTTCACCTGTTAACATTTCAGATCCTAATATTTCACCTGCTAGTTTAGTTCATATGATTCCTGCCTGGTAGTCTAATTCTCGAGTGTAACTTGTATTAGTCATAAGTTCATAACGGTGCTTTTGTGAAATGAGACATACTAGCTTCTTTACCTTGAAATGTATCATATCCTTACAAGCAGAAACTAATTTTGTTTCTGGTCGCATCCTGCTCGCTTTGTTCAGCTTGTAGGTTTCCCCACTAAGTGTTAATTCCATTAATCTCATGTTCATACATCATACAGGGAAACTCTTCAACTTTCTAGATGGCTAGTTCAAATTTTTAGGCTCTAATATAATAGCTTGGAAGTGGAGAAGTTCAACACAATTCATAATGAACTGCACTTTTGTTGCAATACTTTTAACTAACAAAGGGTTTACTTAGAATAGTACCCCTGAGTTTACACTCTGTAGAAATAGACTGAAGTTATTTTTTTCTTGGAGTGTTACTTGCGAAGAGGTCGCACTTGGTGCGATGGCAAGTGCCTTCGCCCATAAGCGGTAGGTCTCGGGTTCGAGACTTGGGAGCAGCCTCTCCATAAATGGGGGTAAGGCTAGCCGACATTCACCTCTCCCAGACCCTGTGTAAAGCGGGAGCCTTGTGCACTGGGTACGACCTTTTAGTGTTACTTGCGACAATAAGTACATCTCTTCACATCTGCACAATCATTGAAAAGTGTTCACTGGTGCCCCTTTACACGTAATAAATTAAACCGCTATCGTTGATCATTAACCAACAAAGAAAATCATTAAGCACTACTACAAGTGATTATCCATGCTGACTGATTTCCTGGTTGTCATAGAAGTTGAGGCCACCATCATGTATCTCCTTCTCCCATTTCTTACTATGCCTCACCCTGTTTCCTGTCATGTTTTTCAGCTTGGTTGTGGCCATGGACTTCCCGGTATCTTTGCCTGCCTTGAGGTGAAGTTGTGTTTCATAAGCTTCTCAATTTAGTGTTGTAGATTAGATTTCTTAATATTCTTCATTATTGCCCATCAGGGTGCAGCTGCCATTCATTTCCAGGACTTCAATGCGGAGGTCCTGCGGTGCCTCACCATTCCTAATGTAAATTCAAACATTCCAAACTTCCAATCCCCATCAGTGCAAGCGACAAAGTCTAATGTGGGGGCCGAAATTGGTTTTTTTGCTGGTGACTGGCGTGAAATGCATAAGCTTCTTCCTTATGCACAAAACGACGAGAGGGATGTTAATGTTAGTTCAGAGCAAAGTTTAGATGCTCAGTATGATATTATTTTAATGGCGGAGACAGTTTACTCAATTTCTACTCTCCCACATCTATATGAACTCATAAAAAAGGTATTCTCTCATTGATCTGTCATTATTTATGATTTTGGACTGCGAACTTGGAGCGGCTTTAAGTTTAATAATGTTTATTTTACAGTGCTTAACTCCTTCTCATGGAGTAGTCTACATGGCTGCAAAGAAGCATTATTTTGGAGTAGGTGGGGGAACTCGAAGGTTTCTATCTGTGGTCGAGAAAGATGGTGAGCTAGTTTTAATTATTTTTTGAAAATTACTGAGGAATTATATCACAGTAGAAGTTTTCGTTTCTTATTTCTTTCCTACCCTATTCCTTGGGTTGATGGGATTGTGTGAAATGCGATAAGAACAAGTTGCAGAATATGTTTGTTCTATGAATATGTGTTTCGGAGGCCTTAAAGTTGCGACAATGGTGTTATCGACTGTTATGAAGTTATGTTTAGTATTTACTTATGCTTCAGTAAGAAATTTAAACACATTTTCTTGGAATTCCTTTCTGCAGGGGTGTTGGCTTCTTGCATGGTTGCTGAAGTTGCAGATGGTTCTTCTAATGTCCGAGAGGTATGGAAGCTTTCGTTTAAGTAGGCGTCGAATTCATGTTGACCAAACAGTATTGTACCTTACCCTAAGTTGCCCGGAAGAATTTCAAAAGTTGTAATTGTGATCAAGATTATTTTTACTGTCTTGAGTGGTAAAAGTTATCATGCAATCTTATCTAGTAGATCATTGTAAAGAAATGCATGATGACAATTTCGAAGTGATACGTATAACCCTTATCTACGAGGAGTGTGCTACATCGATATGAAGCTTTATTCTTTAAACTATGGGATGAGTTTATTGAACACTTGAAGCAAAAACAAGAAGAGTCATTGAAAACTCAAGAGAAATAGCTTCAGATAGAAGTGTTATACATGTATAGATAGGGCGGATCTATGGCACCAATTTTTTTTTACAATTTTTGACACATTTTTTTGTGGGGTCTACTTCATAATGTATTTTAACGATCTGAACCGTTTATCTTTTAAAACATCATTAATAGATTATCCTTATAAAATATTAGACAAATCTAAAACCATAGACTAGTATGGTTCCACAAAGAAACTGTAAACCCTTGATATCATATGGTTTGAGATTTGAGTTATTTTGGTAGACATACTTTTGAGAAAAGACTTAAAAGAAGTATGTCAAAAGTTGTGTAAAAAAAGTGATGCCATGACAAGGCTTGCTAACGGGGAGGATCGATTATGCTATAAGTAGAGAGACCTTCAAGCACCTTCGGAAAATTAAGGCACACCTCCTAACTCACTAATTCTCAGCCCCCTATATATCAAAACCAAATAAAAATTCGAATTTGCTCATGTCCTCCGTGATCACGAGTCCGACCTACAACGATAATACTTAGAAACGGTGAGACGGAGGAGGAAGACAGCCTCCTGTTTTGCTATACGCTTCACATCTAACGCCGCCGTTGCAAAAGATTAGACAAAAGATTAGGCACATCTAAAACCATAGTGAAGAAAATAGACTCTTAATGGTCATTGTTTGAGATTTGAGTTATTTTGGTAGACATACTTTGAGGAAAGACTTAATAGATAGATAATTCGGATCGTTGAAATATATTACAAAGCCAGCCTCGTAAAAAAAACGTATGTCAAAAGTTATGTAAAAAAAGTGACGCCACAGATCGCCCCCTATATATCAAAACCAAATAAAAATTCGAACTTGCTCATGTCCTCCGTGATCACGAGTCCGACCTACAACGATAATACTTAGAACAACCTCTCTGATAAGGGTGAGACGGAGGAGGAAGACAGCCTCCTGTTTTACTATACGCTTCACCTCTAGCGCCGCCTTTGCAAACTGGTTGGTCTGGCTTCAAAGCCCCGGGCGATATGTACTTCTTCGTCTGAAGAAACCTCCGGCTTATCTCCGACTCCATCAGCAGCTCGCTTTCGTTGTCGCACTCCGCTATCGAACCGTTGCACGATGTGGACGTAGGGCTCGTTCCCGAGGCAGTTGTGCAGGCGAGGTAGCAAAGGCCGGTGATTAGCAGAAGGAACACTCTGTTAGGCCTTTGCATTTTGTGTTTGGGTTATATTTTCTTCACACTTTGAACAACTTTATAGGGGGTCATGTCATATTTATCTTATAAAATTACTTATGAGACGATGGTAGTGGGATGCGCACTTCACCAAACCTGTCAATAGAGTCCGGCGGCAGCCATGTATTTTATTTTCCATGTGTTACTTATTCTCGACCACACCTTCAATGAATAAAAAAAATGAAAAAGGATGGTAAAGTCTTGGCTAATAATTTGGTTACTGAAATTAGGGGCTCTCTCTCATATGGACCACCAACTTTGTGTTGAAAAAAATCCTTTTCGGATAAGTGTATTCTTGACTTGTACGTGGGAAGCAACTCATGTGGAATACGGAGTTTGATAATATATTATTGAGAAATATGTTGACGTGAGTTAACTAATTAATTTAGAAATGTAATCTTATAATTTATTCCTTGTATAATTGAGATTTTTATTTCCTGTTATATGAGATATTGTACAACTATATATTTACCTTCTAGAGAGAAGAATAAACATACAATTCAAACCCTAAACACTTTTATCTTAGCATCAGAGCAGGTTTCGACCTGTCTCTTTCCTCTAACCTTTTACCCTAGCTACTGATCCCTAAAAACCCAGAAAAATCCTAGCGTGGTCTCGAAGTAAGAGAACCACCTACGGGAATAGAAAAAAAAACCTAGAAACCTAAATTACAAAACCCCAATGGTCTCAAAGCAAGAGAACCATCCACTGAAAATACCTAGAAATCTAAATCACAAATAGACCATTGCTTCCATGGCCGACAAGCACCATGGCATGATTCCTTGTGGCAGTGATCTCCAGCGGGCTGGGCTTGCAGTGCCTGGAGCCCAATGTTCAACAGTGCATCAATCAAGCATGGACATAAGCAACAAATTCGGTGTGAGTCCAACCGAGCAACAATTCGTTGTGTACAAGAACAGCCATGTGGGCATGCCGAGCCCATCATGAGACAACCCTTTGGAAAACAGTTTGGACCTAGACAGTATGGGCCAGCAGCTTTCATTATTGAATTTGATTTCGTCCCAAGAACAATTTGATGATCCAAGTAAAATTGATATTGCATTCACAACATCCGCTAACCGAGATTCTGGTTGGATAATTGACTATGGGGCTACAGACCATATGACATATAATGAATCCTTGTTTTACCACTTAACCGTGCCACCCAAGGAGAATGTTATCACAGTAAACGGTGAAACTACTCCAGTTACAGGAGCGGGTTCCATCGCCCTTACTCCCTCTCTATCACTGCATAACACTCTTCTTGTTTCTTCACTATCGAATCATTTACTTTATGTTGGTCAAGTTACGGAACAATTAGATTGTGTTGTACTCATGTTTCCTAGTTTTTGCCTACTATAGGATATCCAAACACGGGCAATTATTGGGCGTGGTACTAAGATGAGAGGGTTATATTATGTGGATGATGTGGTACCGGGCCGAGTCAACCAAGTGAGCAGTGGTCACAACAACAAGGTTAAGAGAATTTGGTTATGGCATCGTCGACTAGGACATGCATCTTTTGGTTCTTTAAGAAAATTACTTCCGTCTTTATCTAATGGCGTTTCAGACTCTGATTTTCAGTGTCAGGATTGCATTCTTGCAAAAAGTCATCGTACTTCTTACCACTTGAGTCTCAATAAAAGATCAGTGCCCTTTGAGTTAATTCACTTTGATGTATGAGGTCCATCACTAATAGCGGCGCTCCATGGTACCTTTGTAGATGATTGCACCAGAATGACTTGGCTTTATACCATGAAATAGAAGAGTAACGTTGGGCAAATTTTCCAACAATTTTATTAGATGATTGGAAATCAATTTTCTCTTCCTATCAAAGTCCTGAGATCCGATAATGGTGGAGAATATCTTAATTCTGAACTATCACAATTTTTCGCAGAGCACGGCATACTTCATGAGACTACTTGTCCTCAAACTCCTCAACAAAATGGTGTGGTAGAACGTAAGAACAAACATATATTGGAAACTACACGGGCTCTTCTAATTGGGGCTTATACTCCTCATGCCCATTGGGCAAATGCAATTACGTGTTCCATTTATCTTCTTAATCGAATGCCCTCTCGAGTTCACAACTTCCGAACTCCTATGGAAGTCTCGACGGAGTATGTCACTCTACCATCTTCTCTTCAATTATCACCTCGCATATTTGGATGTGTGGCTTATGTGCATCTTCACAAGAATCAACGGAGTAAATTGGATTCGTGTGGTGTTCGTTGTGTATTTCTGAGATTTAATAGCCAACAAAAGGGATATTGATGTTACCATCCACCTACTAAGCATTTCTATGTCACCATGGATGTCACGTTCTCCGAAACCGAGATGTTCTTCATCTTTGATCAAACCTACTGTACTCTTAAGGGGGAGTTGAATAATAAATACGAAGACTACAGTTGGTTTGATACATGAACGAGACAGTTGGCATGGTCATAGTAGTACATGGGAGACCGAGACTGAAGACTTAGGTGTTATAAGCAACCCACCTGACCGCGCCTTACTAGAGGGTCGCGACACATCAATTTAAAGCCCGAAGGTAGGCCATGACATTGCAGTTCAGAACCCAGTAGTGGCCAACGACACAACAAGCCAAAGCCTAGTAGATTTTGACCGTGAAATCCTTGACCAAGAGATAGCTCATGCAATATCGAATAATAGGCCTACACCATTTATGGATTTAGTAGAAGGTAATGGGTCCGCGAGTGATACCGAGACTGTGCAAACAAAAAATAACCCTCATTCTCCTCCACTAGTCCATGCTCATGTCCCGCGGATATCCAAGAGGTACGTTCTCATACTTCAGATATTGTTGAAAATTCCTATATTTTACCTCCTAGGCAAAATCGTGGGAAACCACCTGACATGTTTTCTTTGGAAGGAAAAGTGAGATATGCAATTGCACAGTATATGTCCACTCATTGACTATCACCCAAGTACCAAGCCATGGTGAATCAAATGGCTGATATTAAAATTCTAACAAAAGTGGAAGAAGGTTTGCGAGACCCCCATTGGGTAGAAGCCATGTGAGTAGAAATGGAAGCCTTACAAAGAAACGGAACGTGGAATGTAGTGTCACTACCACAAAGGAAGATACCAGTGGGATGTAAATGGGTGTTCACCATAAAACACAAGGTGGATGGATCCATTGACAGATACAAGGCAAAATTGGTAGCTAAAGGGTACATACAGACATTTGAAGTTGACTACCAAGAAACGTTTACTCCAGTAGCAAAAATGAACACTATTCGAGTTCTTTTATCTTTAGAAGCTAACCTGGACTGGCCTTTGAAACAGTTCTATGTGAAGAATGCTTTCTTACATGGAGATCTGGAAGAAGAAGTATACATGGATTTTCCACCAGGATATGAAACACTGAATGAAGCAGGGAAAATATGTAGACTCTGAAAGGCTCTCTACGGACTCAAACAATCACCCAGAGCATGGTTTGGAAGGTTCACTGAAGCAATGAAAAAGTATAGCTATAGACAGGGAAATGCGGACCACACCCTGTTCATCAAACGAATGGGAGGTAAAGTTACTTTGTTAATTATCTATATGGATGATATGGTAGTTACTGGTGATGACACAGAAGAGATAAAAAGGCTGCAGGGGTATCTTTCACCAGAATTTGAGATGAAAGATCTAGGAGGCTTGAAATACTTCTTGGGTATTGAAGTTGCTCGTTCTGATGATGGTATTACTTGTCTCAGC